AACATTCGTCCGAGCTTCCTCGCTCCAGCCACCTTACAAGCGAGCGAGCCATTTTGCCGGCTTTTTCTCTTTCTCTCAAAAAACTCACCGCTACATTCTAAACTTTTCGCGCGCGAGTTTCGTTTCTCCTCTATGTCAAAAAATATCTCTGAGTATCTTAACTGTTTTCTCTAGTATTTCTAAATTCTTTTTAACATACGAATTAATCTTCAGATAACATTTTTTTATTTTAACAGATAATATTTTCATTTTAAATAGTAATATTTTCTATACATGAGATTAATGTCCATTTTGTCTTACGTTTTGATCATAATAAATACATATCAAAATTATTATAAATATTATCTGAAGAAATGTTTATAAAATTTTATAGAATTTAATAAAATTCTATAAAATGCAGAGTATTATTACTAAATTTGCTCTTTAGCATAATAGTATTAGTAAAGGATATTGTAGGCTGAATTCCATCGTAGCTGATGTCGCCGGAATTACAGTCGCTAGCTCGGTCGTTGCTGTCCATCCTAAGGTGTCCGTAGTCTGGACTGCCGTGCTGGGCTGCCGCCAACAAGGCTGGATGCAACATAGCCGGCGGATGGGGCAGTGGAGGGGAATCCCTGAGTTCTACACCTCCACCCGGAGGACTCGCGGGTAAATGATGTGGCCCCGGAGGTGGTACTTGACCAGGATGACTCGCGTGAGGATTGAAAAACGGCGAATAGGGCGAGAACACTTGACTCTCGTGGAGGCTTGGATTTGGTATCGCTACGCTGGTTGGCAGGGACACCGGCAGCATCGGTGGTGGCGCATGGTAAGGTCTCGGTGGTGGAGGAGGCGGGGGACTATCACTACCTCCTTGAGATCCGTTTCCTTCCTGCGCTAGGATTCTGGATACCGTTCTCGGAGTAATTCTCGTATCCGTCACCTGTAAACCGTACTAATTAGTATTTTTTTTAGTTAGACTTTTTTTTATCAATTTCACATAATTAATATAAACTAATTTTACTTATAACTATTTTATTAAAGCATATAAAAAATATAAATAATAAAAATTGAGATTATATTTTTTTAAATTAAAGAACAGAAGTCTTATATTCGCTCAAAACGGAGCGCACTTAAATATCTCCATACTTAAATCTTTTTCAATCTTGAAACGCAATCATGAACAGAATCAGAGTAGTAATATCACTTATTAAATTGACAAGTAATTTAAGAATTTTTTATGCTAATAAACATCTTTATAAGAGTATTAATAATGCAAAAGATTTCGACGCGCGATTACAGAATCAGATATGTATATAAATTCACAGCAAATTTCACACAATAAATTTAAGCACTAAAATTTGATATAATTTTTCGTATTTAATTATATTTATTCTCATCGATCCAAATTTGTATCATAATTGTTTATAATACTTTCGCTGTGACTTCATTGATTTCAATTTACATAATTATTCGAATATTATGTATGACTTGAAGTTAATATCTTTTTTATATATGTAAAAATTTGTACAATTTATACATATATACATTTATACATATTAAAATTATAAAATTAAAAATATATCGGTTTATATTAATATTATCGTAATTTTAAGTACATAATTTATATTAACTTATATCAATATATTAAATCTGACAAGTTATAATGCTTACCTTATGACGTTTTTTCTTCGGCGTCATGACAAGTGACAGAGCTTCATTTTGTTCCGAGTCCCTGTTTTCTCTTTCGTCACCTCTCATATTACAATATTGATCGCGTTGTTGTTGCTCCCTTTGTTGCTGCTCGCGTTGTTGCTGATGTTGCTGTTGGTGTTGTTGTTGTTGCTGCGCTTGCATGGATGCCATGGCGTATATCGTCGGCGGTTTTGGAGTCTGAAACATTCCAACGCTCGGCCTTGCGTGCGAGGGCAGCTGATTCATTTGGTTAAGATTGTTTTCCGTGGGGCCAGTATGAGGGCCATGGGGTACACCACCTATGGACCCGATTTGTGAAAACCCCGTGGGTTGTGGAGGAGGGGGCCCACTGTTGAGGGGCCCCCGTGGCCCGTTTGGGCCACCGGGTGGTTGTGGAGCTCCTCTGTCAACTACTTTCGTCCTGGGCGATTTTCTTTCGAGCATTTGGCTCGCCAAAAGAAGGTCCTTATTGAGCTGCTCGGCAGCAGCCTGCGCTGCCTCGGTTTGCTTACCGAGAAACCTCCTCTGTTGCACGAACCTTGCTACTATGCTGTCGATCAAATTGGTTAAAGAAGAAGTTATTTCCGTCTTCAAGATATCCGCCAAGCCTTCCAAATCGGCTCCGGTGATGTGAGGACCGGACGAGCTGGCTGCTGCAGCGGCACCCCTGAAGACGTTTAACCTTTCCTGGAAGTCTTTATGTTGAATAGGCGTACTGGCTGATTGCATTTGCGGCGTTTGCGGCGTCGAAGGTCCAGTGTTGTTCTGGCTCTGTTGCTGAGGTTGACTTGGTGGCGGTGGCGAACTTTGTCGTT